CTAAAGATTAAAAGTAACAAAGCAACTCTTAACCATTGAAAAACAATATATAATAATAATTAAAAAATTTCCACCTGAGCGGGAAGACAGGAAGGGAGCCAGGGATATACTGGTAATATTGAATTCTTAATATGTGCCCTGCCCCTCCTAATGTCTCGCTATCCATACTGGCCCAAGGGGTCGGCGTTAAAAATGCGAAAGATGGGAAGCGAAAGATGGGAAGAAATATATATATTTAAAAGATTTAAATGTATCTGTTTTTGCAAAACAAATAGTGGGGGCCAAGCCCCCCCTCTTGGACCGAGCAGTGCAGTTTTAAAAGCCAAGCTCAGTTTTGGAGGCTCGAATTAAAAAGGCGAAATCATTTTGAGGTCAGCCTGCAGATGGGAAGGAAAAAATCTTTCTGTATTACCTTCGCTGGTTTGCTTTGAAAGTAGAGTGGGGGTGCGGTGGTGGAAAACACACTCATGCACCACCAAGTGGCATAAGGGAGAGATAACAAACTCAAGATGTTTGAAAAGAAGAGGGGGATATTTTTCCCCCCTTCTACTTTAAAAGTATCTCCTGAATGCCTGGAAGCCAGTAGGATTTTTGGCCTGTTTGCAAGTATCAGCTGCTTCTTTTTCTTTAAAACAAAGAAGTAGATAGCTTCTTTTTCTGCATTTCTGTGTTTGCACTTTTTCTTAAATGCACCCCCATATTTTTAAAACTCACGAAACAGCCTGCCAAGGGCAGGGAAGCAAAGTCACCCCCTCTTCAGTTGGAGTCAAATGTTCCTTTAGCCCACCAGAAATGCTAGGCTTCCTGCTTCTGCCCTCAAAAGCAATGATAAGGAAAAGAAAATCATGTTTCCGAGGAAGAGGGCCTTCGGCTTCCTCTTCCCTTAGGATCCCTCCCCCTGCTTGGCATGACGGATCATCCCATTTCCCCCCCTTAAGACCCCTAGGGTTTAACTTGGTTCTACCTTCTCTGCCACTCCGTGCAGATAAAGAGACCCTTTTCTCAGGTTTAAGGGGGGAGAGCCGAGATCTTCCAGAAAATATATATATTTTTTGCCACCTTGGGTCCCCTTGTTTGGAAGAAAGGCAGCTTAATAAATAAATAATGCTGTCTTTTTCTGGTTTTAAAAAAACCATTTATTTTTCTGAGACTACAAATTCCAGAATCCCCAGCCATCACGGCTGCAGGGGAGGGCAGCTCATAACAAAGTTCTCTGTTTTTGATGAATATTTACAAAGCAACGTGTGTCTGTGTGTATGTGTGTGTGTGTGGACTCGATAAACACAGGTTGCGCATCTAGGGGTGTTTCAGATTTGTGAGGTTCAGCACCGTCGCGGATTTAGGGGGGAAAACGTCTCCCTAAATCTGAATCCTCAGAGCCAGTCTTGTGATGCCCATTCATACCCACCATCTTTCCAAGGAAGGGGGGAAAAGTTTAGGATCAGATACGGAAACGTGAGCCAGCCATAAAGCTTTGCATTTTGCCAGCCCCTTTCCTGAGGGGTGTCGGGAGACACACAGTTAAATTTTTATAACCGGACTTTTTATTAAGATTATAAATTTAAACAAAATCTGAACAGTTTTACCCGGTGATATACAATCCAGTAATGGGGACACACGCACGCAACACACAAAAAATATACAGAGATACAAAGGAAAAAAAAATTAATAGTAATTACGTTTGGCAATTCAGTCCATTAATACACACAGTGCTAAATGTGACGTTCTGGATGGCAGGCTGAAAAAAAAGCCACCTTTTTACAACAAAAGGTTTTTTTCCCTACCTTTCATTTAAAAAAAAAACCACAAAGTTAAATAACTTTTTTTTAATAAAGAAAAGGATTACAGGAACACAGACTTTTAAATTTTTTTTTTGTCGGTTTGCACAGAGGACCAACACAATGCTGGTTGAATCGCGAGCGTTCAGACCTTCCAGGGGGGAAAATATTCATCCAGACACTGAAATAGTGTTAACAGATGTAGTTGTGCCATTCACACACAAACCCTCTAAGTGGGAGGAACACAAACCAAGGAGGAAAAAAGGGGGGGGGAGGATCTCCAGAGCAGCACTGCATGCTGGGAAAACTCGGTGCCCCTTTCCTTCCTCCTTCCCTCAAAATCAAACTTATCTTAAGAAAAAAAAATGAAATGTTCGCCAGAACCACAGAAGGAAAGCATGCCGGAGTTGGGGAGGAGGACAGAAACCGAGGCGCCCCCCCCAAGGAAAGGAAACAGATCCCAAATTACGTAACCAGTTTCCTCCCCCCAAAAAGCCCCATTTCTTATTTTCTGTCCTTAAAAAAAAAAGGCAACTTTAAGAAAAAGCTAGCGGGGTGGGGGTAGATCTGGAGAAAAGCAGGCACCAAAGACTAGTGCAAGGGAAATGGGGCACAATTTTGTCTCTCTCTCTGTGTGTGCTTGTTCGGGGGAGGCGAGGCAGAATTTTTTTATTTTGCTCCTGCTCCAGAGAAGTTCTAAAAGCCCATTAAAAGCTGCATTAAAAAAATGAGCCGTTGATGGAAAATAACTCAGCTTTGCTGGACAGGCTGAGAGCTCAAGAGCAAAGGGGTCCTTTTCTCAAACCCCGTACTATTGGGATTTTTTGGGTGGTGGTGAAAAGGGATAATCAAGGATAAAACCCTTTTCCTCACCCCCTCCCCCAGAAGAGGACCTCCCAGTGCCTTGCACCGACCACCCCCGACAGGATCGGGCGCAAACTCCCCGGGGCGCACGCCCCTTCTTTACTTTTTTTCCGCCTCCTGGCCCAAGAGGGTCTTCTTGCGCCCCCCAAAAATCTGAACCCTAAAGGGGCAGGGGCGATGGGGGGGAAGAAAAAGGGAAGAGGGAGAGGGCAGGCAAAAGAGCATCAATCCGACATTTAACCCCCCCCAAAGGACACCAAAAGACGATCGTTGTTGGGGTTTTTCCCCCCCGCGGTTTTTAAATATCTCCTCCGTTCTATCTTCATCTCTGCAAAAATAAAGGCCCAAGATCTCCGAAGTAAATTCTATGGTACAATTTAGAAAACATTCGC